TCTGCATAGCTCTTTCGGGATACAATCACACTGTTTGGGGGTCATGCAACACAAATCAACATTTCCGAACCCGAACCTGCGTTTCTATCACACCGGCAGTAAAAATGTGTGTGTGTGAATGCAGAGCTACATGGTGAAGGGTTTCGGGAAAGTGTTCATCTGCAGGTATTAAAGGAATAATTCACCCAAAAATACGATATCTGTTTTCATTTACTCAGCTTCAGGTCTTTACTATGGAAACCCATTTCTGACAAATGAGGGGGGAAAGCATGCTTTTGTAAGTAATAATTATGACCGAAGTCAAAATTACGAGACAGAAAATCATAATTACAAAATAAAAATATGAAATTATTGCACAAGTCATCATTATGACTTACTATCTCACAATTACCCCTTTTATGTCATAATTTCATATCTCACATTGTCTTTGTATATCAATTTTGACTTTTTGTCATAATTACTTTTTATCTCATAATTCTGACCTTCTGTCCTAATTTCCACTTTATCTTATAATTATGACTTATTGCGTGCCATAATTGATCTTTTTTATTTAATAATTTTGACTTTGTAGGTCAAATTTGACTGGCAATTTAAACTTTTTATCTCATAATTTCAACTTGGACAATTTCGACTTTCTATCTGATCATTTTGACTTTGTAATAACTTTTATCATAAATTAGTATGTCATAATTCTGACTTAGTATCTCATATTTTGATGTTTTATGTCAATTATGGCTTATCTCATAATTATGACTCAGCATCTCATATTTTGACTGACATAATTTTAACTTTTTATCTCATAGTTTTGACTTTGTAATCATTTCCACTTTTTATCTCATACCTACAGTATCACTTAGCGTGTCATAATTATAACTTATCTCATAATTATGACTTAGTACCTTATATTTTGACTTTTTGTCATAATTATGACTTCTGTCTCATAATTATGAATTAAAAGTAAAAATATGAGATATGTCATAATTATGGCTTCTTGTCTCATAATTATGACTTAATATCTCATATTTTGACTGTCAATTATGGCTTACTGTCTCATAGTTATAACTTAGTATCTCATATTTTGACAATTTATGACTCATAATGTTTAATTTTTATCTCATAGTTTTGACTGTCATACTTATCACTTAGTGTGCCATAATTGTGACCTTTTATCTCATAATTATGACTTAGTATCTCATATTTTGACTTTGTCATGATTATGACTAATCTCAGAATTTCCACTTTTTTATCATACTAATCTTAGTGTGTCATAATTTCGACTTGTCAATTATAGTGCTGTCAAATGATTAATTGCGATTAATCGCATCCAAAATAAGTTTTTGTTTATATAATATATATATTTATAATGTAAATATTTTCAAAATATATACTGTATGTGTGTGTATTTATATATACACAATAAATATACACAAAACACATATTTTATGCAAACAAAAACTTTTATTTTGTATGTGATTAATCGCGATTAATCGTTTGACAGCACTACATAATTATGACTTTTCTCAAAATTATGATACAAAATATGAGATATGTCATAATTATGACTTTGTCTTCACAATTATGACATGGTATCTCACATTTGGATGTTTTATGTCATAATTATGATTTACCATGACTTTCTGTGACAGAAATGGGCTTCTATAATCATATGACCTCAGAAGAATTGGAATATAATGTACAGAATCATAAAGACGACAGTTTGGATACTTTTATGATGCTTTTTTGGAGATCGCCAGATGGGGTTACTATGAACTTTTATGGAAAAGAGCTGCGTTAAGATCAACATTTGTCTTTCCATGGAAAAAAAAAAAAACAGCATATGGGTTTGGAATGAAACGAAGGCGAGTAAATAATGACAGAATTGTGTCCTTTCTGCATGAACTATTCCTTTAAATCAAAAATTGCTGATACGACGGTCCAGATGTTTTTCAGAGTGGTCATGACCGGAATTAAAGACTATTAGACCAAAATGTTCTTTGATATAAAGTACAAGCAAAGAAAACGGGAAACACGATCACAACCAATCAAACTGGTCAATCAACTTTGGTGTAAAATAAAGTCTTTACATATGTAAATCTCTTGTGCAACCACAATGAGTATATAGTTGTTTCTCAGGTTTGTTATGTGCACTGCAAATGGAGCGTGACTTGAATGGCCCTCCACGTGTGGGACGAAATAATAAACCAGTGTAAATACGCACCATCTTTATGATAAATATAAGCAAGGCCATAATGTAACCGGTTTCATATTGCTCCTGATAAACAAATCTAATTCCCCTAGAGGTAAAACACAACTAGTGATACTCGCGTCACGAAAACAAAGGCAATTCACGTAAGAGCATCTTGAACTAGAAAATGCATCAATGCTTTGAAAACAACAACAGAAGCGTTTCACCTGAATAGATTGAACAGTGCGACCGTTTGGTAATGCATAGATCTGTTCCCCTCGTGTGGAATATTACCATTTCATAGCCAATGCTAGGCGGGAACACGTACTTCCGAACCGGACATGATGTGGCCAGAAATAATAAACCTGATGTTTAATAACAGGAGCTCAATGACAATCACTCATCGCTTAGGATTTGAGTCACATCATGCCTGGTAAGGACAGTGTTAAGCCCCATTTACACCAAGAACGATAACTATAAAGATAGAGATATTAGCGTCCACATCAGCGGAGGATATCGTCTGTTTATTCTTAGCGCACGCTTGTCTGCCGCTTTAAATTCTCCAGGTCGTTATAGCAGGATGGATTCTGATTAGGTGTCAATGTTTGTATTGTTCATCAGCTGGAAAAAAATCAGATTCCAACAATATCGTTTCTCTGTGTTTATATCGATATGTGACCCTGGACCACAAAACCATAAATATTTTCAAAATATATACTGTGTGTGTATTTATATATACACAATAAATATACACAAAACACATTTTATGCAAACAAAAACTTTTATTTTGTATGTGATTAATCGCGATTAATCGTTTGACAGCACTACATAATTATGACTTTTCTCAAAATTATGATACAAAATATGAGATATGTCATAATTATGACTTTGTCTTCACAATTATGACATGGTATCTCACATTTTGATGTTTTATGTCATAATTATGATTTACCATGACTTTCTGTGGCAGAAATGGGCTTCTATAATCATATGACCTCAGAAGAATTGGAATATAATGTACAGAATCATAAAGACGACAGTTTGGATACTTTTATGATGCTTTTTTGGAGATCGCCAGATGGGGTTACTATGAACTTTTATGGAAAAGAGCTGCGTTAAGATCAACATTTGTCTTTCCATGGAAAAAAAAAAAAACAGCATATGGGTTTGGAATGAAACGAAGGCGAGTAAATAATGACAGAATTGTGTCCTTTCTGCATGAACTATTCCTTTAAATCAAAAATTGCTGATACGACGGTCCAGATGTTTTTCAGAGTGGTCATGACCGGTCACCAAAGCGCTTGAGTGCATTTAAAGGGAATTAAAGACTATTAGACCAAAATGTTCTTTGATATAAAGTACAAGCAAAGAAAACGGGAAACACGATCACAACCAATCAAACTGGTCAATCAACTTTGGTGTAAAATAAAGTCTTTACATATGTAAATCTCTTGTGCAACCACAATGAGTATATAGTTGTTTCTCAGGTTTGTTATGTGCACTGCAAATGGAGCGTGACTTGAATGGCCCTCCACGTGTGGGACGAAATAATAAACCAGTGTAAATACGCACCATCTTTATGATAAATATAAGCAAGGCCATAATGTAACCGGTTTCATATTGCTCCTGATAAACAAATCTAATTCCCCTAGAGGTAAAACACAACTAGTGATACTCGCGTCACGAAAACAAAGGCAATTCACGTAAGAGCATCTTGAACTAGAAAATGCATCAATGCTTTGAAAACAACAACAGAAGCGTTTCACCTGAATAGATTGAACAGTGCGACCGTTTGGTAATGCATAGATCTGTTCCCCTCGTGTGGAATATTACCATTTCATAGCCAATGCTAGGCGGGAACACGTACTTCCGAACCGGACATGATGTGGCCAGAAATAATAAACCTGATGTTTAATAACAGGAGCTCAATGACAATCACTCATCGCTTAGGATTTGAGTCACATCATGCCTGGTAAGGACAGTGTTAAGCCCCATTTACACCAAGAACGATAACTATAAAGATAGAGATATTAGCGTCCACATCAGCGGAGGATATCGTCTGTTTATTCTTAGCGCACGCTTGTCTGCCGCTTTAAATTCTCCAGGTCGTTATAGCAGGATGGATTCTGATTAGGTGTCAATGTTTGTATCGTTCATCAGCTGGAAAAAAATCAGATTCCAACAATATCGTTTCTCTGTGTTTATATCGATATGTGACCCTGGACCACAAAACCAGTCATAAGGGTCAATTTGATGCTAATCTTCACATAATAAAATGCATTAATTAACTTAAACTAAAATATCTTCATAGGACTTGTTCTTGGGCAAAATGCACAAATGTGACCCTGGAGCACAAAACCGGTCAATTTTTCGAAATTGAGATGTATATATCATCTGAAATCTGAATAAATAAGCTTTCCATTGATGTATGGTTTGTTAGGATAGGACAATATTTGGCCGATATACAAGTATTTGAAAATATGGAATCTGAAGTTGCAAAAAAAAATCTAAATATTGAGAAAATCGCCTTTAAAGTTGTCCAAATTAAGTTCTTAGCAATGCATATTACTAATCAAAAATTAAGTTTTAATATATTTACGGTAGGAAATTTACAAAATATCTTCATGGAACATGATCTTTACTTAATATCCTAATGATTTTTGGCATAAAAGAAAAATCAATCATTTTGACCCATACATTGTATTGTTGGCTATTGCTACAAATATACCCCAGCGACTTAAGACTGCTTTTGTGCTCCAGGATCACATATAGCTGTGGTGTGGACTCTGCTATTCTTTAATATTGAGAACGATTTTTAGAACTATTATCTTTATCGTTATCTTTATAATTATCGTCCTTGGTGTGAACCGGCTTCAAATGAAAAGAGCAATGATAAACAAAAAAAAATGAATGGCTTATTTTGATTGCTCCCTTTCATTTCCTTTATTTTGGTTCATTTTCCTTTCGTTTTGGCTTCCTACAGATTATACATCTGTCCTCTGTATTACAGCAGTTAATGATCCTCCATGTGGACGTCCTTGAGGAGGCGGCCGGAGCTCATTCATCTCTCAGGGGAGGAAGGCCTCGTCCTCATCTTCCTCTTCGGCGGTGGGGCCCGGGTCACTCAGACAGCGCATTAACCGTTGCTGCGGCTCCTTGTCGTTGTCCTCGTCGGCCGTTTTGTCTTTTCTCTGATTCGTAGGAGAGGGAACTTTCATGGTGAGGCCGCCCTCCTCCTCCTTGCTCGCCTTCGACTGGCTTCCCTTCTTGCCAAACTCGTCCACCATGTTGACGGACTCTGGGCTCTGCGGTGATGCGAGGTCCACTTTAATGGTGGGGATGCTTTCTGTGACAGACTTGAGGCCCCATGCTTGAGGGTCTGTGGGAGAGGAAGCAATCAGGAGCTGAAGAGATTTAGAAAATACTTTATTTCAGTGTTGTTACTGTTAACTTAAACTAAAGCTACTAAAATAGTTTTTGTTGATTGAAATAAAGCGGATATAAAATAAACTATAAATATTATACGAAAAACTTGAATGAAAATTAGAAATGTTGCCTTGGTTGAAGTAATAAAATTAATGAAATAAAAAAATTAAAGCTAAATAGAAAAAAAAAAAACACAAAACTAATCAAAATGACAAAAACACAACATTACTAAAGCTAACATGAAAATATTAAATTAAAAGCTCATTCAAAAAAATGTCGTAGTGTATAAATAAAACTAAAATAACACTTTTATTCAAAGATAATTTTACTTAAAAAAACCTAAGTAAAAATAATACAATTTGCATTTCTTTATTCTTTTTTTTTTTTGGAAGCAAAAATCTAAAAAAAAAAAAAAAAAAAAAAAAAAAAAAAAAAAAAAAAAAAAACACAAAACTAATCAAAATGACAAAAACACAACATTACTAAAGCTAACATGAAAATATTAAATTAAAAGCTCATTCAAAAAAATGTCGTAGTGTATAAATAAAACTAAAATAACACTTTTATTCAAAGATAATTTTACTTAAAAAAACCTAAGTAAAAATAATACAATTTGCATTTCTTTATTCTTTTTTTTTTTTGGAAGCAAAAATCTAACAAAATATAAAGAGATTTATACAAAAATAAGAAAAAAAACAATATGGGGTTAGGAAAAACATCTAATCTTACTAAATTTTTACTTTTCAAGAATAATTTTTTAAAGTATATTTAAATATTTTTACTGCAAATTAGAAAAATACTTACCTTAAACTACAATTAAAATGAAAATATTAAATGAAAAGCTAATTCAAAATTTTTTCTATAAATATAGTATATATATATTCTAAAATATCAATCCTATTTACAAAGATCAATTTAATTAGAAAGCACAAATATAATTAATTATATAATTTGCATGATATAAAAGATATATAGACTTTTTTTCTTTTTTCTCTTTTTTTACGCCACTGGCATTTCGTTTTTTGTCTTGCTGGAAGCAAAAATCTAACAGAATTTAATGAGGTTAATGCTTAAAACAATAAAAAACTATTTATCAATATGGGGTTAGAATTAATTAATTAATTATTAATAAAGCTTAATTAAACTTTTTTTTTTTTTTTTTTACTAAATTTTGCTTTTCAAAAAATTTATATATTTTTTTAATTATATTTTTACTGGCTTATAATTGCTCTTAAAACATCTTATAGCCCTTACAAAAATGCACCATGGTAAATACAGCTTATGACCAAGTACTACAGTTATTTTTACTACTGCAAACCATAGCAATTCAATACGGGATCTCTTTCAAATGGTGTATGAAGCTTTCATAAACTTTTTGCCATGCTGACTGATTTCTTTTAACAATTGACAATTGTGGTTAATATCCATTTACCACAATTTTATTGCACAAACAAACTAATAAATCTTTGTAAGGAACAGTGTTAATTTCGTCAACGAAGACAACGATGAAAAATATTCGTTAACGAACATTTTTTCTGTGACTAAGACGAGACGTTGACGAGCTAAAACGAATATCTGATGATAAAAACTATGACGAAATTTATGCCGCGTCTTCGTTAACAAGACGAGACGGGACTATAATGTTATTTGAGGACTACCGGACATTCAAAATACA